GAATGTAATGGACGTCATTATCCAAAGCACATGTATGAAGGCATGAATTGGCGTGAACACACTTTATATACGTAGATATGAAAAATTGTGCTCCATATGTGTAATAAGAATTGCAATGCATTCTACTGTCATGTATTTATAAAATAAAATCAATAAAAAGATGTGCCTGTTCTTGGAGGACAGCGAAGGAGAAAACCTGTACAAGTGTGTAGGGAAGGGCAGGGCCCCTCCCTATACCTGTCAGCAGCCACTTGGACAAATGGGACAAATTGCTTGGTCTCCATGAAGCAAACACCCTGTTTCTCTGGCACTCCCAGGACCTGTAGCCACCAAAGTGGGTATGTGGGATAGAAGTTCCTGGCCTCCTATCTACTGTAGCAATACTCACATGGTTATGGGAAATTCTGTCCCAGGAGTGTATCTACAGGGTGTGAGTAAAAGACGGTGGAGTGCAGAATAGGCAGGCTTTCTTTAGGAAGAGTTGAAACATGCATCGTGCACTGGCTCACCAGTGCCGCCTTCATCTTGCCACTCTGTGGTCTTTATTAAAAAAATTTTAGGCTAAAGTTTCTATCGTTACAATTGCCCCCTGGGCTGTGCAGCCATCTGGGAGCACTACAAGTATTAAAAAGTATTCAATATGGGATCTCCCAAGGGTGGGGGAGGAAGCTTCTTTTCCAGCCTTCTCCATTATGCATGGATGGGAGATCATTGTCTGGCTAATAGTCATTACAGAGACCTGCAAGCCACTGGGATTCCAGCCTTGAGGTTATGAATAGCGTGCTCAGAGGTCATACCGCGATGGGTAAGATGAGAGCAGGAGGGAGAGGGAATGTGGTTGAGGCAGTTCCTGGGATATCTGGGGAAGGCGGAGAGTCTCTAAAGGAGGCACTCCTGAGGATGTGAATGTGCTCTGGCTCATATCACCGACCTATCATTATTTTGTGCGAGGCCATCTTGGATAAACCTAAGTAGGACATGCCTACACTACATTTGTGTTTTCTCACAGTCTTTTTATTTATATTACATTGTTTTTGCAATAGTTTTGTGTAGTAGAAAGGGCAAATATTATATTTGCAAATAAGGAAGCCAATATGGATTAGCTCTTCAGCAGCTCAGAACAAAGACTGATGCTGTTTTCCTGACTCCCAATTCCATCCTCTTTCTACTGTTTTAAGCTTCCCTCTGCAGTAACAAGACAGGGAATGCACCTTCTGCACATGGTTATCCTGGTCTCCAGCTGCAGAACGGGCCTGCTGTGTTTCTGAGGATCTAGTACCACAAATTTAGTCTACATTGTCATTGTTTCTCTTGTAGAAAGCACTTTGGTCTTCAACAAACACTAGATTTGAGAAGAAATGACCAGAATGGACTAAGGTTTTCTGCTTTTAGGATATTCTGAATCTAGTTTTCTCCTGCAGGTGATGTTTCGTTTCTGGCCAGAGTTCCCATGGTAGACACAGAACTCTGAATGAATGACTTTCTTCCCAGAGAGAACCTCAGAGTGAGAAGTGTTTTGCCAGCAGAGTGGCCTCTTCACAGATGTGACTTTTGGTCTTGTGTGTCTGTCTAACCTCAAACTCAGTGGCAAAAGAGCAACAGGAAATCTCTTGAGAACTATAAGATTTCCAACAACTAAGTGGACCAAATTCATGGCAAGTGACATTGGTTTGTTTCCCTCCAGTTTTAACCAATATTCAGAACATGCACAGAACCGGGCCTCAAATGTGGTAATGGTGGTGGGGGGCAGTGTGCTTTCTCACCATCAAAACACATCACCTGTCCACTGGATGCTAATGTGGATGAGGATTTTTGGTTTTCCTTAAAGATCGCCTTATATACTTGTAGTTCATATATGTTAACCCTTTTTAGGTTCACAGAAAATTGAGTGGAAAGTGCAGGGTGCCTTGTTTCCACACATGCATGGCCTTCCTGTCATCAATGTCTCATGCCAGAATGGTATGTTTGTTACGACTGATGAACTTTCATTGACACAACATTATCATTTCAAGTCCATAGTTTGTAAGGTTTTGCTCTTGATGCTGTACATTCTATGGGCTTTGATACATATATATTGACAAGTATTTGCTATTGTATTGTACTGAACAGTTTCTCTGCTCTAAGAATCTTGAGTGTTCTGCCTATCTGTCTTTCCCCTTTTGTCCCTGGAAGCTACTAATATTTTCATCATCTCCACAGTTTTGTCTTCCGGAATGTCATATTGTTGGAATCATATAGTATACACCCTTTTAAGATTGGTTTCTTTTACTTAGTAAAATACGTTTTCATGGTTTGAAAGCTCATTTTTTTTGTAGTATTGAATATTTCATTGATTGGGTGTACCAAAGTTTATCCATTGAACTTCTGAAGGACATTTGGGTTGCTTTAAGCTTTAGCATTAAAAATAAAGTTCTTATATATCCATTTGTGAATTTTTATGTGGACCTAAGTTTTCTTGTAGGCATATATTAAGAACCATAATTGATGGATTTTGAATCTTTTTTTTTTAAAGAGAGAGAAAGAGAGAGAGAGAGAGAATTTTTTTAATATTTATTTTTTTAGTTTTCGGCAGACATAACATCTTTGTTTGTATGTGGTGCTGAGGATTGAACCCGGGCCGCACGCATGCCGCTTGAGCCACATCCCCAGCCCCAGATTTTGAATCTTTGTCAAATATCAATTGATAAAATTTATGTGAATGTTTCTTGGCTTTATGTTTTCTTCATTGATTTGTCTATTTGTTCATAGATACCACTTATTATACTGCATTTTAATAGTAAGTCTCGAAGTTAGTGTTATTATTCTACCTTGGATCTTCCTTAACATTAATTCAGCTATTCTGAGTCTTTTATCCATCCATATAAACTTTAAAATTGGTTTGTCAACAGCCAAAAAATAACATGCTAGGGAACTGATTGGAATTTAATTGAATACATAGGTTAAGTCGGAAAGAACTAGCATCTTTAAAATATTATAATATCCATAAACACAAATTACTTCTCCATTATTTGATTCTTTTAAAATATTTTTAATCAAAGTTCTTTAGTTTTCCTTATATATATCTTGTATATATGTTTTAAATTATACCCAAGTATTTCATTTTTTGGGGTTCTGATGTAATTTTAAATGATGTTAATGCATTTTTTATTTCAAATTCTAATTTGAATGTTCATTGCTAATATTTAGGAAAGTTATTGGTATTTGTATATTAATCTTGTATCCAACATTCTTTCTTGTAATTGCTTATTAGTTTCAGGAGGCTTATTGTGAGTCTTGTTCAATCTTGTTATCTATGAACAAAGACAGTTTTATTTCTTCCTTCCCAATCTGTATATCATTTATTTCTTTTTCTTGTCATATTGCATTAGCTAGGACTTCCAGTAAAATGTTGAAAAGAAGTGATGAGTGGGGACATTCTTGTTTCTGATCTTAATGGGAAAGCTGCAAGTTTCTCACCATAAACTTGATGTTAGCTATATATTTTTTTAAAAAATGATGTTAGCTGTAGATGTTCTTTTTTTAAGTTAATAAGAACATATTTTTAAAAATTTTAATTCTTTAGGTATAAAAAAGATAGGTAAACACAAAGTATAGAGCAGAAAACCCTCATTTAATGTAAATTTTGGAAATTAAATAACTTGAAACAAGGTGGCTTTTTATCCCACACTAACATGTAAATAAATTTTCTTTCCCAGATTTATATTCTAAAGTTAGTAACAACCTAAAATCTGTGAAAAATATATCATGTCCAATTTAAATTACCTGGGAAAAAGTAGGAGAAAGGACTATTAATCAGAACCAGTTGCACAGAGATGGAAAAATGCTGCAATCACTCCCAAATATTACCCTACAATATACATAAATCATAATGAAAATAAAAGTGCCTACATTATGGAACTGTGAAATTGTGTTTAAAAATAATAAAAATAAATTGTTAGGTATTGTTGGAATATTATAACTCATAAGGCAGGAAAATACTGAGTTACAGATAAGACTCAAAACACAAGTTGACTTGAAAAAAAAAAAAAGGTTGTCATAGAAATACAGGACAGGCAGGAAAGCAGGTCTTCCAGCAGGATGGATGGACTTTTAGACACATAGACACATCCCACCTCATCCTACCCTACCCCACCTCATCGTAAGTTTTAGCTGACATAAAAAGGAGAGGGGTAGTGTTAAACCAAAGTACAAAACTTATTCCTAAACTTCATGTCTCAATGAACTTATTGGGGGAAAGTTCTTGACAATGCAGTTTGTCCAACTGGTTCTTCCCTTCAGCAACATCACCTTCATTTTTCTGTGTCATTTTCTCTATCTGTATCTACTCAGCAAATCCAATTTCCTGGAAACAGAGTCTAGTGAACATAGGACATCATACTGGAGTCAAATGAAGAACATATATTAACCAAAAGTTCTAAGTTAACAACCAAAAGTGTAGATCTCAAATTCTTATTTTCAATTCCGCATCAGAAACAGTATTTGGCACTAGCTGTTTAAATAAAATCTGTGAGCTGAGGCAGTTGTAGTTAAATCATAAGCCACTATTTGTAGTCTATGATTTGGTTTCAAACTTAAAGGGCTGGTATAGATAGCCACACTTAAAAATTATTCAGAGTTGGAGAATAAACAGTAATAAGATACAAACAAAACCAGGCAAATTAGTCTGGCAAACAAAAATTCATCTAATAATGAGCAAAAATGGGGGTTAAACTAGTTTTGATTACAGGCAGATGTCTTTTTGTTCTGTTTTTTCTATATCCGTTTTTCCTAATCCATACCGCTTAGTGAAAACCCATTTATTCTACCAAGAAATACAGCATAGTTGGCCACAGTCTAAATATGCTTGACTGGAAAATTATGTCCCACAAAAAAACCTTGCAATGTTACATCATTACTCTATGGTAATTCATTGGTGCTGGCATCTGCCCTCACCAAAAAAGCATGGCACTCACTGCCCAGTTTGAACACAGCACTACACAGAGAGAAGCAACAACAGCACAGTCTATAGAACTCTATATTTATTTGTGTGCGAGCATTCAGTGAATGCTCCAAACCGAGGACGGTGCAATAAAAGCAACTTTTTCATATAAATAGACAAGAAGGTGTGATGCCAGTGGCCCCTTGGCGCTTCAGACAGAGAATTAAGCAAGAGTGATGCATGAGTAGGGAAAAGGAGAAAAGGGAGGCACAAGGAGGCAGGTTTCAGACAGACAGTGCCATGAAAATGTTGTACTGCTGGATGTTTCGTTTGAGGATATCTGAGCACGGGCCAAGGACACGTTCAAATCGAAGTCGATCCAGCTTCACACACTTCAAGGGGCCACGTGCAACCACCGTGGCCGCGCGAGGGCGGTTCTTGAGCAGGGCAATTTCTCCAAAATAATCGGAAGGCCCCAATCTTCCCACTTCAACAAAATCTTCGTTTTCGGACCGACGCTGCAGCACGGCAGCCGACCCCTCCAGAATAATGAAGAACTCGTCTCCCGGTTCCCCCTGCACCATGATGTTCTGCCTGTCCTCGAACTGGACCGGTTCCAGGGCGTCCGCTACCGTGAGCCGCTCCCACTTGTCCAAGGACTCTAAAATCGACACTTTGCTGAGGAACTCTTCGTACATCTTGCGCTTTTTCAGCGTGCTCCCCATCAGGATCCTTCGGTAGCTGCTCCGGTCAATCCCCCACAGTTTCACGCTCGTCTTTGCCTTGACCGTGGCTGCTCGCGGGGTCCCGTAAATGAGGGCGAGTTCTCCAAAGCTCCCTCCTTCCCCGAGGGCGGTGGTCCATTCGTCGTTGACGTACACGTCCATCTCTCCCTGGTCGATCACGTAGAAGACGTCCCCGTCGTCGCCCTGCTCGATAACCGTCTCTCCCGCCGTGAAGGAGACGGGGAACATGGCGTAGAAGATGTCATTCTTCTCATTTTCATCCAGGTGCGAAAACAGCACGTTCTTCTCAATGGCTTTGGCTAAGGCGGCGATCGTCTTAAAATCCTTGGGTATGACCTTTCGCACGAAAGACACGGCGTCTTCCTCCGTGCACACTTCGGCGCTGATGGCGCCCCGGCGCCGCCGGCCCTTCACCACGGGCTGGGCCTGGGCCGGCGCCGGCTGGGCCTGGGCCGGCGCCGTCTCCTCCGGGCAGGGGCCCGGCGTCGGCTGACTCTGGGAGAGCCTGGCCTCCTCCTTCTCCAACTTCTCAAAGTATTCCCGGAGGAACGTCACGGGCCGCTCGGGCCGCGCCGTGCACAGCTGCACGATGGAGTCCTTGAGCAGGGCCTGGATGTTGTGCTTCTGCGCGTACAGCTCGCACTCGCGGAGGCTGCGCTCCTCCTCACTGGCCGCGGTGCTGCCCGACGCCATGCTTCCTCAGGCCCCGGTCACGACCCCCCGGACCGAGCGGGCCCACCCCGCATCCCAGGCCAGTGGGAAGGCCTCCGGGATGGCGAGGAGGCCTGCGGCCCGGGGGGCGGGGAAGGGGAGCGGAGGGGCAGGGGGAGGCGCCCGGGGAAACGGAGGAGTCAGGCCCAGACCACCGCGCGGGGTGCGGGGCAGGCAGGCCCGCGAAGGAGAGGGGAAACGGATCTCGGGGAATGGCTAGAGGGAAGGGTGGACGCGAGGATTCCTGCCGGGCCTCGAGATCAGCCGAAACCGGCGGGGGGGGGGGGAAATGATGGCGGATTCCGGTAAAAGCGAGCTGTTGTCCTTCCGGAAATGGGGGAGGGCGAGCGAGCGAGGAGGCCGCGAGGAAGCCAAGGTGCGCGAGGCCCCACTTCCGAGAGCAGCCGAGAGTAGCCGAGAGTAGCCGAGAGCGTCCGAGCGCGGCCGAGTGCGGCCAAGTGCGGCCGAGAGCGGCCGGGTGGTGTGCTACATGGGGCCTTAGATGGAGATTCTTTATGAAGTCAAGGAAATTCAACTCTGTTCTTGGTTTGCTAAGAATACTCTTAGCTTGACTGCTTGGAGTTTGCCAAATGTTTTTTCTCCATCTGTTGGTATGATCCTATGATTTTTTCTTTGACCTGTTGATAGGATGGATTCTCTTCAATTTTGAATGTTGAATCAACCTTGGACGCCTTAAATTCCACTTGCTCTTAGTGTATTGTTCTTTTCAAACACTACTGGATTTGATTTGCTAATATTTTGTAGAGAATTTTTGCATCTGTATTCTTGGTCTGTAGTTTTTGTGGAATGTCTTTGTCTTGTTTGGATATTAGGGCACTGCTGATCTCATAGAATACGTTGGGAAGACTAGGGGGAGTATGGTCCATCCCTTCTCCCAGCTAGCTTAGGTTCTGATCAAACTCCAGTGGGTTACGATCTAGTAAGATAGTTTCTCCTGAAGTCAGAAAAATAAGTGCTGAGTGCACTGGTCTATTTTAAAAAGATCCCCTTTTCAGTTTTCCTGCTGAAAGCATAAGGAGATCCTTCTCTGATTATGAAAGTATAGGGACCCTCTGTGATTGGGTCATATGGAATTTTAACTGTTAGACTGGTCCACACTGAGTTTCCAGCAATTCATCAATTATAGTTCAAGTTTGCCTACAGCACTGGTTCCTGAGTTGCAAATCTCTATGTCTGCTGGTTGGTCTCTCCAATTCTCGGGGCAGAGGTTTGCCCTATGACCTTACTTTCTCTGACAGATTTAAGTAGAGTTACTGATTTTCAGTTTGTTCCGCTTTTTAACCTAGGATAGAGTACAGACTTCCAAGCTTCTTACATGCCAAAGTGAAAACTGGAAGTCTCTGTCCGTTCATATCTTTAAAACGTATTTTTCAGTCCTTCACCACATAGTATTTCTGTCCTATAATATTGACTGAAACCAGAGGAAAATTTTCTGGCAGGATCATTTACAACTTTCAGGCTCGATTCTTTGGAGGAAATTATGCAGACAGAAGCCTAATCTTTCAGGAGTTTGATTCTAGTTTTTGCAACTTTCTTTCCAAAGTTAGTTGATTTTTTTTTTTTTGGTCCAAAGTTGTTAATTGAAACATAGTGAATGAGTTGTATTGTTAACTGATGTTTTGAGTCATGAACAAAGGAGGAGTTGCTATTTGGGAGCCTCTGATGAATTAGCAGAATGATGAATTCTTAAAGTACAAGAATTGAAAGATTGAAGACATCAGGGTGCTATTCCTAGTAATTCTAAAAGTTTTGTAAGTATCTTGACAAATAGGATTACATAAAGGGGAAAAACTGGAGCTGTCTGCCTTTCTTTAACTGTCTTTACTTCAGATGTAATAAGAAAATCACTACATTTATGAGAGTACTACATATTTGGGTTTAGTAGGGATAACTGAGAAATGCTTTCCAACCAAATAAAGACCCAGAAGAGAAAAAAAAAACACTTAGTTTTTTTATAAGTTTCATAGAAGATATTTATCTAAAAAATCAGATTAATTGGTATAAATAAAAACTAATATTGTCCTTCCATATTAGTATTTGGTATTAACATTTAATAGATTCTTAAATATTGAGTGTTAGATGAGCAATTATTTTTGTTTAGATTTTTGGTTTAGTTTGTTTTTGCATTTCCGTGTGTGTGTGTGTGTGTGTGTGTGTGTGTTTGTTTTTAGTGCTGAGGATTGAACCCAGGACCTTGTGCATGCCAGGCAAGTGCTCGACTGGTCTGAGCTACACTCCCAACCCTTCACATTTTCTTCAGGCAACTAATACTATAACCTAGTGGTCAGGAGCATATCTCAGAAGTGGACTGAAAACTTGCTGTCCATTTACTGTGAGTGTGACCGCGGACAAATTAATTAAGCCATCTGCTGTGGTTGGAATGTGGATTTCCCCCAAGGTTTCAGGTGCTGGGCACTTGGTCCTCACTGGGGCAGTACTGGGAGATGAAACTTTGAAAAGGAGATGGCACCTACTGGAAGGACCCTAGGTCCATGGGAGGCCTTCAGAGGAGATTATGGAACCCAGTTACTCTGGCAGGTGATCTCTCCCACACTCTGATCTGCCATTACACCCACATCAGAGTCTCAGCCAGGGGGCCTGCCCTGTCTTGGACTTCCATTCTCCAACTGTGAGCTAAGCATCTTTTCTTCAGAAGTACCTGGCTTCAGGTATTTCATTCTAGTAACAAAAATAAAACAAAACAAAACAAAAAAAACAGACTAGTACTCCTCTCCCCGCTGGTTTGTTCTTGGGCAGAATGGGGATTGAAAGTCATTTTCTCCCAGGGATCCCATGAGGATCCAACGAGATAGTTCTAGTAAGTGTTCAATCCATGTTAGTTATTTGTATTTTAAAAAGAACACTTCATTCAAAGACATACACTCTTATGAAGAGTATTGTGATTGTTGATGAAACCCCTAAGACATTTGAGACTTTGGAAGGAAAACCTACCTCTCAGTGTTCACAGAAGAGCACGGAGCTGCTTTTCTTCAGATCTGTCGCAGTGTCTTCCGTGACTGTGAAAGGTGGTGTTGTCCTTGATGTCACCCATTCCCAAGGTGGGTGCACTGGCCTTCTCCTCTAGGCTAATGTAAATGGAGACTAGAGTTGAGGGGGATAAAGAGCTGCACCCAGGGAGGGTAGGCAGCAGGGGAAAGATGGAGAACCCCGGAGTCTCTTTAGCTTTCTGACAAAGAGTGCACCTTGGGTGAGCAGAGTCTCTTTCCTGTTTGAACCAGTGGTTTGGCAAACTTTCTGATAATGACTCTGTTGACTTTGAGGGCCACAGAGTCTGTACACAACTTCTCAACTTGTGAAGTAGAAGAGCATCTCAGACAGGAGAAAAACTGACTGTGGCCATGATTCAGTAAAATTTTACTTCTAGAAACTGATGGCTGGCAGGAGTCACCAGCCTCAGATCTGGAGTTCTCCCAACTTGCAGGTAAGTAGATGGAGTTTTGTCAGGGTCTGTAAACAAGTCAGGATGGCGCCTGGCATTTTGCCAGAGGGAGTGGTTTGTGAGGTGGCGCCAGCGAGCCATTAAGTGTGGAGATTCCTTATTGGTTGACTGCTGTATCTAGTTTATGTAAATTAAGATAAGCTGTGTGGAATGTATATATACCCCTCCTGTCCTACAATAAACGGCTCCCACTCCTGCTGTATCAATCTACACAAGTTGCTCGTCACCCCCTGGTTATTTTGCTGCAGCCAGACTGCGGCAGAGTTTTCTAGCTCCATCTACTTACCTGCAAATGCCATAGTTTTATTCTTTTATTGCTGTAATCCCAAGGGTGATAGAGAACATTCGTTGCTTTCGCCAGACAGCTGTCTCTGATGGAAGTGGGAGGCCATTTCCCCTCCTGGATATCCCTTCATTCTTTCTCACTCCACTTCTCCTGCCCTCCACTTAAGTGTATAGTAATGACTCAAGAGGTCAAGGCTTGGTTCCATCCTGAAGCACAGCAGGATATGTGCAAGCCTGGCCCTCCTAGAGTCTCAGAGTGGTGTTCATTCAAGACAGAGATGTAGCTCCTGCTTGTCTTCCTCTTCCTCCTCCTCCTCTTCCTCCTCTTCCTCCTCCTCCTCAACTGGTGTTGGAGATTGAACCCAGTGCCTTGAACATGAACATGCTAAGCACATACTGTATCACTGAGCTACATTCCAGCTCCGAGCTTCTTGATTATACCCATGATCTTGCATATCTTTAATGTCTTATTTCATTAAAAGACCCTCTCTCTTTTAGGATTCAAGGACTTAAAAGGAAGGAAGCGAGAGGTTCGGAAAGTTCCAGAAGCTGGAGATTAATTTATGTGACAATACCTGGCATCCCACTCAAAATATTCTTCTCCAAACACAAACCTGTGTCCTCACAGAGGAAGAGGAACCGTTCCTAGACTCTCCTGGACTTGAGATTGAGACCTTATCTCCCTTCGTTTTAGACTGTCTCTGGGGTCCTCAGTAGGTTCATCTCTTTTTTAAAAAATTATTTTATAATTTATATATGACAGTGGAATGCGTTACAATTCTTATTACACATATAGAGCACTTTTTTCATCTCTCTGGTTGTATACAAAGTATATTCACACCAATTCGTGTCTTCACACATGAACTTTGGATAATGATGACCATCACATTCCACCATCATTTCTAACCCCCTGCCCCCTCCCTTCCCCTCCCACCCCTGTGCCCTATCTAGAGTTCCTCTATTCCTCCCATGCTCCCCCTCCTTACCCCACTATGAGTCAGCCTCCTTATATCAGAGAAAACATTTGCCTTTGGTTTTTTGGGATTGGCTAACTTTACTTAGCGTTATCTCTTCTAGCTCCATCTATTTACCTGCAAATGCCATGATTTTATTCTTTTATTACTGTCATCTCTCTCTTTTTTAAAGCTGTATTCTGTCTTCCCAGCCTCTCTCCATCTGTCAGTTTAAAGTCTTATTTACCATTTCACTCAGGAATGCTAGGGCCCTCTCAGAAATCTATCCTGGGGTTCCACTGGTTATCAGGGGTCCTGCTGTTCCTACTGAGATTTTGTCTTTTCAGATCTCGACAGGACAGCTCAGATTGCATCCTCCCCCCAGGCGGCCGCTGGCGCAGTGTCTTACACTCAGTAAATATTTGTTGGTGTTATTTAGAGGTCCTGGCAACTGAGGTTCTTATCTTTTTGTATATTAGTTTGATGAAGTGCTGACTTTCTAGATCTAGAAGCAAAGATGAATCAAGTTCCTGTTCTGATGAGAGAAGAACACTTTTGCATAGACGTGTAGATTCTCAGAGTAAAACGAATCTGTCTTCCCGAGACTGGGAGAGGC